CACACTGACCACTGAGTCCCCTCAGGTAGCGGCGTCTGCGTCTGCGTCTGCGTCAGGTCAGCTGTTTGCCCCCTGCTCGTGTCGCTCTCTAGCGCACAAGACTGTCCTCTGGCACCACCGACTTGGTCACCCGTCAGTGCAGCGCCTTCGGGGCATGCACTCCCGGTACCTTGTCTCTGGTCTTCCTCGGGTACTCCCTCCCCTCCCACCCTCCCTTGCTCCTCCTTGTCTTCCCTGTGTCGAGGGGCGGCAGCGCGCTGCCCCTCACTCCTCCTCGTTCCCCCCGACGACAGCTCCTTTGCAGACGCTCCACATGGACGTGTGGGGCCCAGCCCGCGTTCGTGGTCAGGGCCAGGAGAGGTACTTCTTGATCGTCGTTGACGACTACTCGCGCTACACCACGGTCTTCCCCTTGCGCACCAAGGGTGAAGTCCCTGATGTCCTGATCCCTTGGATCAGCAGAGCACGTCTTCAGCTGCGAGAGCGTTTTCGCTCGGAGTTTCCTGTCCTGCGCTTGCACTCTGACAGAGGTGGCGAGTTCTCCTCCGACCTCTTGGCAGCCTACTGTGCCGAGCACGGCATTCGCCAGTCGTTCACGCTTCCGGCCTCTCCACAGCAGAATGGGGTTGCTGAGCGCCGCATTGGCTTGGTCATGGAGGTCGCTCGTACCTCCTTAGTCCACGCGGCTGCCCCCCACTTTCTATGGCCGTTTGCGGTCCGGTACGCTGCGCATCAGCTCAACCTCTGGCCCCGTGTCTCCGCTCCGGAGACCTCGCCCACACTGCTGTGGACGGGGGAGGTTGGCGATGCGTCACGCTTCCGTGTCTGGGGATCCCGAGCTTTTGTTCGCAACACGTCTGCGGACAAGCTCTCCTCCCGCACTGCTCCCTGTGTCTTTCTTGGCTTTGTCCCGGATGCGTCTGGCTGGCAGTTTTACCACCCCGCCTCGCACCGCGTCTTCCCCTCTCAGGACGTTACTTTTGACGAGTCCGTGCCCTTCTACCGCCTCTTCCCCTACCGCACTGCCCCGCTCCCTCCCCCGCCTCTCTTCCTCGCGCCAGGTGCTGCAGTGGTAGACCCCCTTCCCCCTCAGGGTGCCGCTCCCTCAGGTGTCTCTCAGGTAGACCCGGTTGAGCCTGCCGAGGTAGCTGTCGACTCGCGTCCTGCTAGAGGTGCTGAGCCTGAGCGTGCGGAGCCTGAGCGTGCGGAGCCTGAGCGGGTGGAGCCTGGGGGTGCTGAGTCTGGGGGTGCTGAGACTGGGGGTGCTGAGCCTGGGGGTGCTGGGTCTGGGGGTACTGAGCCTGGCGTTGCTGAGTCTGGGGGTGCTGAGCCTGGTGGTGTTGCAGTTGACTGTGAGGCGCCTGGAGGACCTCCCTCTTCGCAGCAGCTACGTGAGTGGTACTCACGGTACTGCAGCCTCCGGCAGGGTACGTCTCGGGCTCGTGGTGCTACTGGAGTTGGTACTCGTGTTTCCCCACCACGGCGGGAGCCGCCCTCTTCCCCACAGCTTCGAGAGTGGTACGCTCGGCACATCAGTCTCCGGAGTGGAGCTGCTGGTGCTGGGGTCCCCGGAGTTGACGCTGCTGCGGGTGCTGCGGACCCTGGTGCTGGAGGTGCTGCTGCTGCTGGCGGTGCTGCTAGAGGTGCTGCTCGTACTGAGGACCCGGGCGTTGGAGCTGCTGTGGGTGCTGCGGACCCTGCTGCTGGAGGTGCTGCTGCTGCTGGAGGTGCTGCTGGTGCTGCTGGAGGTGCTGCTGCTGCCGCTGGAGTGGGGGACCCGGAGGGTGGAGCTTCTGCTGGTGCTGAGGACCCTGCCGCTGGTGTCTCTGCTAGTTCGGGAGTTGCTGCACGGCCACGGCCGTACTTCGTTCCGCTCCTTCAGCAGGTTCTTGGTCAGACTCCTCCTCCTTGTCCTCCTCTCGCCTTAGAGTGTCCGCCGTCTGTCCAGTCACAGCCACAGTTACCGCCTGCCTCCCCACTCCCTTTGCCTACTCCTTACACTGGTCCGACTGGAGGTCTTGCTGAGAGACGTGAGCCTGCGTCACGTCCTGTGTCACCTGCGTCTCGTCGAGCGTCGCCTGTTCGTGCTACTACCACTGGTAGTCGTGTCCAGCGTCAGCGTCCTCCTGCTGTCCCAGGCACTCACCAGATGGCGCTTCGTCAGTCCACTGCTCCACAGCGTGTCGCTCTCCCGTCGCCTCCTGCGTCCTCTCTTCCTGCTCTTGCTGACCCGGAGTCAGACACCCTTCGCGCTGCCAGTCCTACTGTCACACGTCTCCTCGCTACAGTTGTCACTGACCCTTCCTTTGAGTCCGCTGCTGCGTCTGCCTTAGTCACTGAGCTTGTCGACTTTGCAGCTGCGTGTCGTCTAGACTACGCTGCGAGTCTTGTTGCTGAGTCTGAGTCTGTCTCTCCTCCGTCCGTCGGGGGTGAGTGTGCTCTTGGCACGGACGTTCTTGAGGACAGACAGGAGGAGTTTAGTTGCCTTGCCGCTGCTTTGCCCCATCTCGTGTCCATGCTTGTTGCCCCTGAGGGAGACCCGGATGCACCAGACATCCCGACCCCACGCTCTTACGCAGAGGCGATGGCCGGTCCCTACTCCTCTCAGTGGCAGTCAGCCATGGACACAGAGATGGCTTCCTGGAAGTCCACTGGCACCTACGTCGACGAGGTTCCCCCACCTGGGGCGAACATCGTCAGTGGCATGTGGATTTTCAGGGTGAAGCGGCCGCCGGGCTCTCCGCCTGTCTTCAAGGCGCGTTACGTTGCACGAGGCTTCAGTCAGCGAGAGGGAGTTGACTTCTTCAAGACCTTCTCCCCGACCCCGAAGATGACCACTCTTCGGGTTCTGCTACACGTCGCCGCTCAGCGTGACTACGAGCTCCACTCTCTTGACTTCAGCACAGCTTTCTTGCAGGGCAGCCTGCACGAGGAGATCTGGCTGCGCCGCCCACCTGGCTTCACTGGGTCGTTTCCTCCTGGTACCCAGTGGAGCCTCAGGCGACCAGTCTACGGTCTCCGCCAGGCACCACGTGAGTGGCACGACACACTGAGGACTACACTTGCGGCTCTTGGGTTCGCTCCTTCTACTGCTGACCCGTCGCTGTTTCTGCGCACCGACACTTCTTTGCCGCCGTTCTACATCCTCGTGTACGTCGACGACTTGGTCTTTGCCACTTCTGACACAGCTGGTCTCGCTCACGTGAAGTCCGAGCTGCAGAAGAGACACACGTGCACAGACCTGGGTGAACTGACAAGCTATCTTGGCTTGCGGATCACCCGGGACAGAGCACGGCGCACCATCACCTTGACTCAGTCACACATGGTGCAGCAGGTCCTTCAGCGCTTCGGCTTCACGTACTCCTCGCCTCAGTCCACTCCTCTGCCTACGGGACACTCGCGCTCAGCTCTGCCTTCGGATGAGTCCGTAGAGCCGAGTGGTCCGTATCCAGAGCTTGTGGGCTGCCTCATGTACCTGATGACCTGCACTCGACCTGACCTTGCATACCCTCTCAGCATCTTAGCACGCTATGTCGCTCCCGGCCGTCACCGGAAGGAGCACATGGATGCAGCTAAGAGGGTGTTGCGCTACTTGTGCAGTACGTCGGGCATGGGGCTAGTGCTTGGAGGGCGAGACCGGCCTGTTCTCACTGGGCACTCAGACGCTTCTTGGGCAGACGACCAGGCTACTCAGCGGTCGTCTCAGGGTTACACCTTCAGTCTTGGCTCTGGCTCTGTCTCTTGGCGTTCTACTCGTTCCTCTTCTGTTCTCGGCTCCAGCTGTGAGGCTGAGATCTACGCCACGGCCATGGCTGCCCAGGAGCTTCGCTGGCTCACCTACTTGCTGACTGACCTTAGAGAGCAGCCTCGTTCTCCTCCAGTGCTGTACGTCGACAACAAGGCAACCATAGCCTTGTGTCAGGAGCACAGACTGGAGCACAGGACGAAGCACATTGCTCTGCGTTACTTTCTAGCTCGAGAGCTACAGCAGCGTGGTCAGCTTCTTCTGCGTTACGTGGCCACTGAGGCCAACACTGCTGATGTGTTCACCAAGGCGCTTCCGCCTGTTGACCATCAGCGTTTTTGCACTCTTCTAGGCCTTGTGCCGACTGTTCCTCACTTGCTTACTTCTTGACCTTGCCTGTACTGTGATCATTATATATATACCTGCATGTTTGCCCTTGCTAGGTTGTGATCATTGCACCTCTTGCTCTGTTATAAAACTGCATGTGAACTGGTCTTGTGACCGCTTACTTGTGCTCGGAATTTGTGTGGAATCCTCGAGATCCACCCTGAGCTTGTTTGCCTTGCTTTGCCTTGACTGGTCTTGTGACCCCTAGGTCTCCCCCACTTTGCCTATGGGGGTGTGTCAAACATTATATGTTTGTGTGGTTCTAGGCTGTAGTGGGTCACACCATAGGGGGTACACCAGTTTAGGGTTTCATATTTGTACTGTTGTTCTTGCTAGTCACACACATTCTTGTTTCTCATTCTGACACATCGATGTTGTTGAGTGACTGATGCCATCGCCTAGTGCAAAGCGCCCACGCACAGACATTCATGCGCCGTAGAAACACTTTCATTCCTGAGCTAAAAATGTTGAACTATTTATGTCTTGATTTAGACGGAACATATAATAGTGAGGGCTCCAGTATGACAGTGGAAATGTTGTAGCTCGGATACGGATATGGGGGGGCGATAAGAGTGAATCTCAGTGCTGTACCTCCATGTTTGTAAGCAGAAATGCTCACTAGTAATGTATGGTACACAACACATTGCATAAACGCCCACTTATGCCACTGAGGGGTATATCTGTATCGAGAGGGCAGGCAAGCGGTGAAACCCTAACAAAGTACACTGCCTTGTTCACTACGCCAGCAGTTTTAGGCGCGGCCCCCTCCTTAACTGGCGTGGACCGCGTTGATGTAAATGCGCGTGCCCGCACGCATGCGTCTACGGAAGGGCCATGGGAGTCATGTTCCGAGCATGACACGTCTGCTATGCCGTACGCGACGTGCTCTTTCTGCGAGAAATTACTGAAAAGCTACGGAGGGTTACGTAGACATCAGCGGCGGAACAAAAAATGCCTGTACGAACAGGACCGCCTAGCGGCATTAGGCATTCCGTACGGCCGCTTCTATCGGCCGCCGTTAATAACGATCGTACACGCATCCGGTCGTCGCATTGACGCGACATTCGAGCCGCGCACAGCTCGCGATCGCGACGAGGAGGAGGCCAATGGCGATGACGGGGAGGCGTGGTCATCAGCAGAGTCAGCTCCGTCGGTTGCATCGGGGGAGTCGTCGGACATTGCGGAGGCGGGTGTCAGTCGGGATTTTAGGCTAGATATAGCGCGCATTGCGCGGACATATTTCTTGCCTAATGCAGCCATAACCGACATCATCCAGTTGTTTAAAGCTGGGAACGGGGACCCCTCCGAGGTGGATATGTGGCAGACATATCGGGACCTCGAACGGTTCGAGGAGGAGTACCTGTCATATGGCGACGAATGGGAGATACGCGTGTTGGAGCTGCAGGAGGGGCTGGGCTCGGTGACGTTTCGGTTTCGACCGCTCGATCGTGTGAGTTTATAGGTAATCCACATTTCAGCCACATTGACTCATTGGTATTCCGCTCATTGGGCAATCCTTAACCATGCAGATTCTACTGAGGATGTGGGAGAAGATGTCCCGGGTCCCCGGGTTCACAACGGAACCACGGATAGTGGAGGTGGATGACGAGAGACGTTACGGGGCCGCTGTGGAATGCGACTGGTTTCTTCGGGCATGGGTACGTTTGAATATGTCAGTATGTCGTTCCCCTTGTTCTCCTGGTCTCATGTCGCAGCATCGGGGAGGGTGAGCAGACGGGGGGTGGGTTGAACGTACTCAATTCCGTCTGTGTCCGACACATGCCCTTCAGGAGGCTTTACAGGGTGCCGGTATAGTGGCAGCGGTGATTCTGTTCAGTGATGCGACCCATCTGACGTTTAATGGGAGACAGCTGGCTCACCCGTTGATGTTCTCGCTGGACAACATTCCCGAGGCCATCCGATGGCTTGAAGGTGGCGTGGAGATGGTAGCACTCTTCCCCCCGCTACCCGCAGCCTTGACACCGGAGCAGAAGACGGAGCTCATGCACGAGATGTTGCGGCTGGTACTAGGGCCTCTCATGCGCGCATCATCAGTCAAGAGGTACGTTGCTTGTAAAGGCGTGAGAGGTGCCATCCGAATGGGGTGTAGTGTCCCAGGCCTCCAACACTTGAATCACCCGATGATAACACTTGCTTCTACCGACGACCGGGCCCCATCTTGCGCAGTGGGGGAATCATGGTCACCGATCATTTGGGGCGGAAACAGAGGGTCTTTCCACTCCTGAGCAAGTACGTGTGCGACCACACGGAGTCGTGCATGGTGACATGCACATGGGCAGCCACGTCGAGCCAACCTTGCTCTATGTGCCTCGTGAGCAAGTGGGACCTGGCGGATCTGACCCTGGAAAGCACCACCCGCACCGTGAAAGGCCAGAAGGACGTGTACGAGCGGATCGAGGGTACCAACCCGAAGAAGCGCAAGAGAGTGAAGTCTGCATGGTGCACATACTTTGTGAAGGTGAGTGACCCTCTGAGAGGCTCTCTTTGGGGGTCCGGCAGTTGAATGATTGTTTGCGGCACCCTAAGACTGGGATTTGGTGCGGGGATTACAGCATTAGCTTTGTTCGGTTTGGCAGTGCGCACTGTGGGAATGGGCGCACGTCGACACACCCTGGGGGAACCTCTACGAGGTCATCGGAATATGCATCATGCACGTGGTGGACGAGGGGGTGTGGCTGCACACCATGCGATGCCTGGTGGCGAAATTAACCCCCACCGAGCAGCTGATTCTTCTAAGGTACCGAGTGCGGGTTTTTGAGGGGTTGTGGCGTGGTGCTGTAAGCACATGTCATGTAGGACTGTGCGGTTCAAAGCGTGTTTGCTCATGTCTTGCTAAGACGTTGCATTGCTTATGTCCGCAGCCAGTGCGAGGCCGTCATGGCAGCTACGCCACCGTCTCTTCTCCGGCATCCGGACCCTTCGGCATACTTTGGGACGGTGTCCCAGTACGCCGCATGGGAGCACCGGGCCATGATGCAGATTGTACCGCTGGTCGCTCACCTGCCTGGCCATGAGGACATTGCCCGCATGGTCATCCTCTTCAACGAGTGGTACCGCGCGTATTTCCGCGTGGCTTATCACACGGAGGCGTCTCTTGACGATGCAACGAGGAAGACACTTGTGTAAGAGGGTGTGTCATTCATACGCAAGGCAGGCTTTAGCCTCCACCATGTCCCAGCACCTCGAGCCCCTGCCTCACAAGACACTTGGTGTCCCGCACCGGCCTCTGATGCCTCTGACTCTCAGGCTCTTGCATATAAGGCCACTCTCTCCGGTGCCACTCGTCATCATGCCCCTGCCTCTCAACCCTTAATCCCCACATGCCCCCACGTGCCCTTGGCCATATTTCTAAATGGTGTTAGGCAGCCGGAGGAAATCATACCATTGCGGCAGACGCGGCTGCCTATAATGCCCTTTCCTCCCCCGCGCTCTCGACTTTCATGCAAGTGTCTATCTTGCTATGCACTCTCCTGCCCCTCCGCCCTCGGCATATCATGCCCCAGCCTTATCTGCTCCGCAGTATCACGCCAGTGCAGCTTCTGCTCCTCCCAGCTAATGCACATGCTCCTCATGCCACTGCCCCGCATCGACATACATCTCACGCTGTGGCTGTACGATGTTGCGCAGGCTGGTCGCGGAGCTGAAGCTCGTCTTCCCCAGGCAGGCGTCGCAGTGGCGGCTGCCGAAGGTGCATCTTCTCCGGCACCTTCCGCACGCCATCAGGATGCATGGCATCCCGTCCGAGCAATCTACCAACACCTACGAGGCCTTGCATAAACGATGCTGCAAATGGCCTGCACGGAACTCGAACTGGCGGGACGTGGGCAGAGACATTGCGGTTCGCCACGCACGCAACGAGGCTATCAGGGGCATGGCTCGGGAAGAGGGGGGGAGGACGTACGAGACGGCCATGCGCACGGTGAGTTATTTCTGGTCATGCATGCATGGTATGGCAGACGCTCCATGTGCCAGAGCCCTCCATGGCATGAGGTCCCGTATTTGCAGTAAACTCATGTGGTCATGGCACGACGCCGAACTCGACCGTTTCCATTCCTATCATGCGGCGAGTGGGCACAGGCGGTGAAGCACAACACAGCGGTGATGACCCGACGTTCACGGCGCATGGCGGTGGGGGATGCGCAGGACCCGGTATGGGCGGAATATGGCGCCGCGCTGGGCCGCGTCGCCATGGACGGGATCGCACGGGTGATGCAGCACGTGGGTATCGATGCGTCAGGCGTGCAGGTGATGGCTCGATGGAACGAGTGGGAGCAAGGGGGCCTAACAGGGCATGGGATTCCTGGGGTTCAAGGTGGTCAGCAGTGCTTTGTTGCTGCGTTTGAGGGGGATCCTCACGTGATTCAATATGTCGTTCATGTCTGTTTCTGCAGGTGCACACCGCGCTGGCGATACCCCCGCATGACCGCCTCTTGGGCCGCGGGCCAGGGCACATGGTGAAGGCAGCGCCGGGCGAAGGGAAGTTCAGCTACGTGTCGATTGATGGGGGGGGAGGCGAGTGGTATGCACGGTGCCTCATGCTCTTCCATTTCATGGACGACGAGGCCCAGATTCACAGGCGCGCCGTGGTGCGGTACTTCGACGAGCATCCCACTCCATGCCCCGTGACGGGATGCGTGAGGCTCTTGCCAACGGAGGGAGAGGATGAGTATGCCGTTGTCGAGGTGGAGAGCATTCTCTTCCTTGCCCACATTGTCCCGTGTTTCACAGAGACCCGGTTCTCTTTGGTGAATCGGTTCCTGTTTGATGAGTGATGGGGGCGGAAGACATGGTGCAGCCGTGTGGTCGTGCATTGACGGGGACCATGTGGGGTCGGTACGGGAGGCAAACCACGGCTACACTTTTAATGACAATCCTGTGGGCAGTTGGGCGGTAGTAGTTTGGTTGATTCCAATGGGTTGTTGAGGTGGTTTGGGAAGCCGTGAGGCGCTCCTCTTGGCCACCATGAGCGGATGTACTTTTGGTGTAGGACTGTATTATAGACCAGATGTTGGTGCTGTATGTATAGTTTATGTTTTGGTACACCATCCTGCGCAACCCTGGCTTATGTTCATTGTCCATAATGCTTCCGGCTTATAACGGGTTTTTGGTTTCCTGTTACATGGCGAGAATCGAACCCGGGCGCCCAACGAACATGAGGGTACGGAGGGTTGGGACAGATTTGGGTCAGATCCACGTTGGGTTAGTGCGAGAGCGGTCAAATTGGAGTCTAGAAGTGCCAGCGACAAGTATCGAACCCGCATCTACAGATCCCCAAGGGCTGTGCGGGGCAAGTTACTTTTGGGTTGAAATACTCACTGACCCAGAACTGACCCTGTTCTGACCACTAACCCCAATTAGACCCCAAAGAAACTCTGGGGGCATTTACAGGACAGGCTTGGGTCCGGCCGGAAGGTGGGTCAGGGTACGGGTCAGAAACATTTTGGTGATGATGGAGCCGCATGATAATACGGGGTTGCTAGTCAAGTTTGAGGCGAACCCAGGAGATGTCAAATCGAGTGATGATAGATGACTCGTGTGGCTGTGAATAGAATGAAGATAGCAGACGTTTGATGCTCTTTAGGGAATGGAGGGCGCAGGTGGGTCGTGATGCGCCATGCGAGTTCCTCCCCTCGCTTTCGCTGGGGCATTCGCGATTTCAGGAGCTCCTAGCGGTTGGTACTGTACAACTTCTTCGTCCAGCGCAGCCAGTTTGCTGGGCACTGTGTGGAAGGCACACGATTCAACAGATTCAGCTGCGCCCAACCCGTGAGCTCCGTTGGCGACGGCGAAATGTTTGGCTGTGCCTGCCTGCGAGCCGCATCTGAAACCTGCTAGCACCTGGCGCCTTGATGCAGGTGCCCGTGCGTCGCGCCGTGATTGTGCGAAGTCCTGTCGGCTGGTGACATGGTAGTAACCAGGGCAGCGGAAAACCCAGAGGGTGCTGAAAGTGTAGCATCTTCCCATTAGCATCATTTCAATAACCACGTACACTCGTTCATCAGAAGCCAATTTTGGCCCATAAAGCCCAATGTCTACTGTGCCCTATGTTACCGGGCGATGTGTGAGACAGTCGCCAGGGTTGAATTCTGCGAGGCCGACCTCGGGGGTGGTATTCCGAGGTCGACGTGGCTGGTGGGCGCAGTCACTGGCATGGAGTCTGCCAGACGTCTGTGCTGTGGTAGTGACAAGGAGTGGTGCACCAACCAGTTGCGCGCACCTGTGAAGCAGGTGCAGTGTTGTCATGCGGGTGCAATGCTGTGCAGCCAACTTGTTGCAGCGTCGGCACACCACGGATCCGCAACGTTGGCAAGCCGCGACTTTGCCTTGCTGGAGCGTGGTCGACGAACTCGTGGTGGCACGCGGTCGACCGTGCTACGCTGGCAGTCAACCGACTAGCATGCTCATTCTGATGTAGTCTGTGTTGCCAATGTTCTTGCTACCATTGTTGTGAGCTTTTGCTAGTGAAACTCTTGCCAAATTCCCCCGTGAACCAGCAAGTAGTGCAAGCACGAATAAACAACTAACTCAACGAACGCAGAGATCACACGAGCACTCATATCTAGCCCAAAGTCTAGCTCCCGTTACTAAAGTTATCTACGCAGCACGGACCTTGGTGGGCTACTGTGCTACCTTGGCCTGCAGATCACCAGGGACAGGGCAGCTCACACCATTACACTAATGTAGTCGCATATGGTCGAGCAGATCCTTACACGGTTTTGCATCCCATTCTCCAAGGTACAACCAACCCCTCTTTGTGTGGATCATGGGCTCACGGCTCCACCTTCGGACAAGCCATTTGAGTCCAGTGGTCCATATCCTGAGTTGGTGGGTTGTCTCATGTACCTAATGACCTGCACTCGCCCAGACCTAGCTTACCCTCTTAGCGTCTTTGCGCGCTTTGTTGCGCCTGGGAGACACCGACCTTCCCACTAAAAGGGTGGCGAAGTATGTGGCGAGTACATCTGGCATGGGACTTGTCCTTGGAGGGAAGCAGCAAGTTACATTTACAGATTTCTAAGACTCATCGTGGGCCAACGACGCAGAGTCGATGCAGTCTACACAGGGTTACTGCTTTAGCCTTGGGACCGGAGCTGTTTCGTGGAGGTCGACTCGGGCGTCGTCCGTCTCTAGTTCTAGCTGTGAGGCTGAGGTGTACGCTGCGGCCATGGCCGCCCAGGAGCTTCGCTGGCTGTGTTTCCTCCTCACCGACCTTGGTGAGCGGCTTCGCTCTCCCCCAGTCTTGTTCGTCGACAGCAGGTCTGCTATCCTGTTGTGCGAGGAGCCCCGACTGGTTGGGAAGGCGAAGCACATCCAGCTTCGTTACTTCTTTCAGCGAGAGTTGCAGCAGTGTGGCTAGGCACTCGTGCGACATGTGGTCTCTGAGGCCAACACTGCAGATATTTTCACCAAGGCGTTGCCGCCTTGTGACCACCAGCATTTCTGCACCCAGCTTGGCCTTGTGTCTACAGGCCCTCACTTGCTTGCGTAGAAATGCTTTGTCTT